CCGAGGAGGGTAATCACGGTTGTGTTATTCTCTCGTCTATGTTATCACGTGCCATTATCTTTATATTAGCTTATATATCTTTAGATCAATAAGACGGACTTCCAGTAGTAAAGATGATTACAATAAATTGATCTCTCCACCTCATGATTCATGAACATGAGTTCATGACATGAAATTCATTGTAAAACCTCACGAAAACTGAAAGAACTCATAAAAGATAAAAGACGATGAAACCATGAAAAATGAGGTGATGAAAATAAATTATGGAAATCAATGAAAGCGTCTAGACCCTACTTCCTAACCACTTTATATTAGTCACACATTAGACTGAAAAACAAGGCGCACCTCACTTTAAGGTTCGATGGGACACGTCATATGTTTCAGGAAACGTCTTGATGACGAGAAATGGTCGGAGACTATTGTGAAATACTAGTATAGTCAATATTGTGTCTAGTATGATATAATAACGACTTTACCGTTGACGGTTACTGAGAAACATGACAAACCATCGAAATCCAAATAAAACTACGATTATCAAAACATGAAAATGAACTCCATTGTAGAGAACTTACGTCATGACCAATGCACTTGTCTCTAAGGATGGCAGCGACCGATCTCGCAAAAAGATGAACAAATGAATTCATCGTTCTAGACTCATGAAGCCAGGATGAGAGAAGAGAAGATTTTCATTGTCATAACCACACTGTATGCACACATGACAATAAAAGCCTTGAATCCTTGAAAACTGAGCTTCTGGTATCTGGGATTTCTCGTGGAGTGGGACCTCTTTATCCCCGGTAACAACCTCTAGCTTCTCCTCCTCTCCAGCACCGTGTCCGATGGCCGGTCCATTCACCGTTCACACCGAATGACCACCCCGGTGCAGATGTTACACACGAGATAACAGCGACACAAACTGCGGGTGTTTGGATGCGTTGGCTCGGGTTAGCATGTGGTCTGCCGGTGAGGATGTTAGCTCGGGTCAGCAGCCCCTCCCCTGGTTGACACCGTGTGATGAGGGCAGACTCTCACGGTAACCGGACCAGAAACACGTTCATGCTCCAGTTTGACTTTGTCGCCCTTTCTGCAAGGTTTGTATTCTCACATAATCACATTATTTCCACCTTTGGAGAGTAACCATCTGTTGAACTACTTTCACCCTGTAAATGATCAATGGGTAGTTGTTGCTACACATGTTATCAGCACGTGGTACATCTGTAATATAAACGGTGTTTACTCTTTGTCTCTAAAGTATAAATATAAATGTGTCTTATAGTTGTGTTGCTATCTGACATTATATTTAATTTATTTATCGTTACAATAAATAGCCTTTTGTCTCCCACTGGTGGTAACCTTGTGTTAGGCATTGTTATGTTAAGTGGGGCCAACATGTTACATCAGCAAGAGCACCACAAGTCCCACAAGAAGAAATCATATGCCATTTTAGTTTAGTAGAGGTGGGAAGTAACTAAGTACATTTACTGATCTACTATACTTAAGTACAATCTTGAGGTACTTGTACTTTACCTGAGTATTTTCATTTTAGGCTACTTTGTACTTCTACTCCACTACATTAATTGTATACCTTTTAGTTACTTTAGAGACTTGGAGTAATGATGTGAAATATAACCAAGTGTTAGATCAGACTTTAGTTCCACCTGGAGTAAATTCACAAGCTACCCTGCAGTATACAAAGTCATTCAAACTAGCTGCACCTTTACCAGCTTTGAGAACACTTTCATGATCAATCATTATAAAACATATCATATATATTATTCTGAAATGGACCAATCTGCACAACGACTACTTATACTTTTTGTATATTTTGATGCTAATAGCTTTCTGTTTTTACTTGAGTAACATTTTGAATGCAGGACTTTAACTTATAACGATATTCCTACACTCTGGTACTTCTAATTGTACTCAAGTACAAGATCTGAGTACTTCCCCACCTCTGATTGTCACGTAGGAGGGCAGGTTTTATTGTAGTGAACTTTATAACCTTGCTGCTGCTGCTGTGTTGTCTGCCCTGATAACTGTGTGGAAACATGCCAATATTCTCTGTGTAATGGAAGTGTTTTAAGAAAACAAATGACTGGTTATGTTCCTTTTTATGTTTACAGTAATTGCAGTGCTTTAATATGACGTAGCAGGGATTGGAGCCTCAAGAACATGCATTTGTTTTTTTTAACCAGGTAACTGAGAGAAAGAGAAACCTCTTCTGAAAAGTACTCGGCCGCCATGGCCCCTCACCCGGCGGTCCAGGCCGTCATTGACCTCTCTGCAGGAGCCATAGGTACAGTAACTGCTAAACTCTTCTCTAAAACAGAGCAAGCAAACAATATTGAATCTCTTTAAAGTAAACCAGGCTGCCTTTCCACTGCTTATCCAAACAAGCCTTGTCTGATGCAGCAGGAGCTTCTGATGACTCAGGTGTTTTTCCGCCTCATTTCTCCACATTGACTCTTTGACCCATTCAGTTGATTGCAACACATTTTGTCAAGCCCTGTCTCTCTTGAAGACAGGAACATAGAAAAACAAACAAAAATAATAAGAAAAAAGGTAAGAAAAAAAAGATGTTAAAAAGACAAGACCAAGTGAAAATAATAAAGAAGAACAAATAAGAAAAACAGGAAAAAATTAAAAAGTGAAACAATTATAAAATAAAGGAAAGAATAAGAAATAAAAGATGGGGGGGAAGAAAATAAATAATAGCTAAAAAACCAACTGAGTACAACTGGCCTAAAACAACCACATCACTAAAATACAGAAGTTTAAACTAGCTTTGTTTTTTCTTACATACATGTGATTAGTTAAAACAGAGACACTTAGTCACTGTGCTAGTTTGACATTCATTCTCAGTTCCTTCATGTTCTTTCTCTTTCCCACTGTCAGGGGGGGCTGCATGTGTGTTCAGTGGGCAGCCTCTCGACACAGCAAAGGTCAAGATGCAGACCTTTCCTAATCTGTACCGGGGTTTCATCCACTGCATCACGTCCACCTACAAACAGGTGGGTCTGCGGGGTCTCTACCAAGGCACCTCCCCCGCTCTGATGGCCAACATCGCAGAGAACTCTGTGCTCTTCATGAGCTACGGATTCTGCCAGCAGGTCATCCGCCTCTCAGCTGGTCTGCCCAACGAGACTGTGCTCAGGTTAACTATGCTGTCCTTTTTGTTATTGCATTGAATCTAATATTTCCCTGAAGGTACATTTGAGATCTCTAACTGTCTTCTGTGTATCCCTTGCTCTCTTCTAGTGATGTGCAGAAAGCTTGTGCTGGCTCAATAGCGTCCATTTTCTCCTCGCTAGTCCTCTGCCCCACTGAGCTGGTCAAGTGTCGGCTGCAAGCCATGTATGAAATGGAGTTATCAGGCAAGATTGCAAAGAGCCATAAGTAAGTTATTTTAAAGAGGCCTTATTATGCTTTATGTCTTCATTAGGATCCCCATTAGCACTAGCATGAGCATTGGCTATTCTTCCTGGGGTCCTCACACACTCAAAACATACAACAAAATTAAAACAAACAAAAGAGCTCATAATTGCATGCAATTTACAGTGCTGTATGAAGTGAAAACTAAAATGGTCATCCAATTATTGCCATCCTAAGGCCAAACAAAAGTAAATACAAATAAGTGTACATAATAACATATGCATACATAGCCACAGGTTTTGGGGGGTTAACCTTTCCTGTAGTATGGTCTTTGTGCATGTTAATGGTCTGCAAAGGGTAAAGTCTCTTCAAGAGGGAGTTTCTCTCCCACACACTCTACCCTGCCTGAAACTCCTCCATTGGACTCCTTTTGTTTACTTCAGTCACATAATGACATCAATATGTAACACTCACACTTCTGTTGGCTAGCACTTCCACACAATATAGAGAGGTTAAGTTCCTCCGCTTCCGGGGACCTCCATGGGACCTTATTTCGGAAAAATTATGTATTGAAGTCAATGGAGAGAGAAAACGTATATTTCGATCCCGTTTGAATTGTGCCACAAATTACACATATTGCATTAATGCACACACTGTCATACTCCTGTCTGCACATATTCTGATTTCACATTTCATAGTATGCAAAAATGCATTCATAGCATTATATTTCCATGTAATTTACTGCTTTATTTTATTGCTATTTAACTGTAATTTATTACGGTGTAAAAGATTTTGTTTTATATTAGAATTCTTGGTTTTTATATTTTATGTATGCACCATGACATCAA